ATAAAGAGTGATACATCTCTTTTATCTCTTACTTGTATTACTGTGATGGTGATAATTATAGCTGTGTTTTATTAAGTGCCTATTATGTGCCGAATATTGTAGTCTTATTTATTCCTTACACAACCCTGGGAGTTTGGGTGGAAGTCTGTTCATTCTTCTGATAAGGAAATCAAGGCTGCAGAGGTTTTCACTTCAAGCCACACACCTAGTGAATAAGAGCTGGTAATTCAAGTTTGGGCTCACAGTCCATGACCTTTCCACTAGACTAGAGCATATTTTTTATGTTCTGTCTAGTTAAAGGTTATTTCTGTATTTCTTACTGCCTTCGTAGGCTTTGTCATATTGTTTTTCCCCTAAGCATTTAATGTAGTACTTAACTTAGAACAAACATTTAGCAAATGATTGTTAATCAATTTAATTCAGCCCAGTTTGGTAAAATAATTTGATAGTGGTCCAGTGTGTGATGCAGCCTCTGAAAGAATCCAATCTTTAATATTTTTTTACCTTTTAGCCACTGTGTCGAACTCTCAGCAGGCTTACCAGGAAGCATTTGAAATTAGTAAGAAAGAAATGCAGCCTACACACCCCATTCGACTTGGCCTGGCACTGAATTTCTCAGTGTTTTACTACGAGATCCTGAACTCTCCTGAAAAGGCTTGCAGCCTGGCGAAAACGGTGAGAAAGGCCCTCTGGTTTCTTATCGTAGTAAAACAGAGCTGTTCTTAGTAACTTACTTCCTGAATATAACTCACTGTTTTGGACTATTTTCATGAAATATATATTTGAGTATATATTTTATGAAATAAATTCATACCTACTTTCTGATTTCTTCTCAACACCTGCTATTTTGTGTTTTATTTTTGTTGTTTGACTAGTATTTTGGTGGGGAGAGGGGTTGTGAAAAATTCAGAGTGAAGGCAGTTTGTTGTTTCTTGTCAAGCTTTGGGTTATAGAATTTGGAAAAAGTATGTAAAGTGAAGTTCTGTTCTCCCTTGATTCTTTGTATCCAGATGTTTTGAGTTGTAGTTTTTTGTTTTGTTTTTGTTGTTGTTTTCTTCTTAAAGGATTACTAGAAATGTCTTTGGTAATTAAAAAATTACATGAATTTGCCTAGAATGAATGCTCTATTAACTGATACCTGCTGACTTATCTAAAAATTTTTGTCATTGTTGGTGCTTTATAAACTTTCATTACGGTATATGTTTGCTGCAACAGCTGGCAAACAAGGTAATAATGGCCTAGGTTCTCCCAAGGTGCTGGACAGGATAAATTATTTTCATTTGTTAGCAGGAAAAAATTGGATTAAATGTGCTTCAGAAAACCTGTGATTTCTTTGCTAAAGGGCTCTTTGTTGTAGGCATTTGATGAAGCAATTGCTGAATTGGATACACTGAATGAAGAGTCGTACAAAGACAGCACGCTGATCATGCAGTTGCTTAGGGACAATCTCACTGTAAGTACTGCTGGTTTCAGTGACTGCTTTTGGAGGGTTCACAGTCTACTCACCACCTCATAATTCACTATTGCTCAAGACCCAAGAGAGGTTTGTGCCTTGTAAGTGTTAAATAGGTTCGATTTAAGTGTTGAATGAGTACTAAAGTTTTGACCTTTTTAGTCACCACTGTTGGCACTCATACAGGAATAATCTTATAAACAGTTGAGGGAGATAAGGCGCTACAGATGGGAAACCGCCGAGAGTACATTTTAGTGGCCCTGCTTTGATCATAACTCTGTTTTTCTCTTGCAGCTGTGGACGTCGGAAAACCAGGGAGATGAAGGAGATGCTGGGGAGGGAGAGAACTAATGTCTATTGTGCTCCGTGATCTGTTCAGTGTCACTCTGTACCCTCCACATATATCCCTTTGTGCGATAAAAAAAAAAAAAAGAAAGAATCGTACATTGACTTTTCAATTTTTCACAGCCTCAGCCTAGCAAAAATGGTTCATGGGATAAACAGCTGGTATTTGTATCTTAAACTCAGATTGGTCACGTAAATGCCACGGCATTCTGAAGTTTTGATTTTTAACATTGACAGGATTACTGTGTGTTTAATTTTTTTTTAAAAAAACTAAACACTGTGATTATGGGGTTTTGTAACTAAGCAGAACTCTTACTGGTAGAAAAATAGACCTGAATTATCTGTAACTTTGGGGAAAGTTTAAACAATCACTGAAATACTGCTCCATTGTAAAGTTGTACAGAAAGTTGTAGTGATTATATTGTGATGCTGGGACTTGGTGTGAGATACTTGTCATTTCACATTCGAGTTTAATGGCAATTCACAGTAATTATGCCTGTTCGGGGCTTATAGACACTTGACCAGTTGGGGCTCTTGCCGCTCAAAAGTTCATGACCGCAGATGTCCAGTGTCTTCCTCTGAGGAAACTCGGAGCCGAACATTGAAATTCTTTGTGGCAGTTAACTGGGTTATGACATCATGGGAAGATTCAGTGCTCATACAACACACGTGACTAAAACCCCTGTCCTACAACAATGTCATTGGTTTGCAACTTGTGCTTCAGTCGTGGAATATTTTCCGTATAATCATGAGCTAAAAAAGAAAGCAAGCCGTGTATCTTATGAATGGCCTTATCTGTCTCCTGGGTGGTCACTTTATGAATAATGTTCTGCAGAGACTGCCTTTCACATGAGGAGTACTCAGTCTTTGGGTTCTTCCTAGCTCCGGGCTTTTAAATTCTGAAATCTAAACATTCTTTCCCACTGTCTTTTTGACTGTTGACTTTGTTTTTTCTCTTTCTAAGTTTCTGTCCTGCTGCTTTACCTTTTTCTTTCTTTTTGAAATTTATCTTTATTTTTCCTTTGTTCACAGTTTAATACTATATGGACAGGGACAGGAGGCCTGGAGGGGGTGAGGGAAATGGGTGAGCACTTGGTGAGCAGGCCTTGTTTCAGTCAAGAGGAGCTTCCAGCACCGCAGCTTTGTCTTCCTCCAGTTCTCAGCACAGTTGTTCTTCCGTCACCAAGATCTGAATCAAAAAGTATTTTTAAAAATCCATGACTCCTCTCTGTATTAACAGCCAGCCCTGATAATGCTTGTTGGTACCTGATCTCCCAACTGTACTCATCCAGCCAAGTTCACAGACGTGTTTAAACAAGACCCTCTGATGCAGGGAAGTTGCATGATCACTGCATTGGGGAGAATCCAGAATACCCAGGCCTACCAGTTTCACAGTATTCCCCCTCTCCTGAACATTCCACATAGCTGTAGTATCCATCTGTTTGTCCATCTGCTGAAATGAGAAAAGAAAAACCTTCATGCACTGATGAAAACAAACCAAAAAAAAGAAAAAAAAATATCCCTCCTTTCTAGCTGAACAAAAAATGTGCAGTTAAATACTTGGCGCTTGAAAATGCAGTAGTGAACGTGGAACGAGCCTGTCTGTATATCTGGTAGCTCTTTCTTGCTTTGTTTTTTCTTACCAGTATTCTGCCTCACGTTTGCTTCTGTGATGGTTATATTGCCTAGCAAGCACACCCGTGGTTGTGAAAATAGTATAGCAAAAAAAGAAAATCCCCGGTTATTGATGTACTAGATTTGTGTATGTCTTTTAAACAGTTCTAGTTTCCACCTTACAAGAAATAATCAGGAAACGTGTAAAAATTCAAAAGTGAAATAAAAAATTTTATCAGTTAGTTGCCTGTGAATTGATGTTAATGTGTGGTACCATTTCTATCACTACCAGAATTAGCTAACTTTTTTTTTTATCACTCATTTTAGGCGCTACTCTTTCTTTAAAAGTAGGCAACAGCTTTATGTCATTCTTTAGAACTTGAAGTCAAAGTGTTGTCAAAGGCAAGAAATTACCATTAATACAAAGCCTACCCACCTTATATAAACCACTTTAGGTCTTTGGGAGCTTCTAAAATTTGGTGATGCCAGTGGATTTTGCATCCCATTCAAGTATCTTTCTCCCCCCCCCCCCCCCCCCCCCGCCCCAACCCCCTGTTTTTTGAAACCCTGAGAAACCCTGAGATGTAACCAAGACAGATGGTTACATAAGGCCTGGTCACCTCCAAATAATAGTCTGGCATCTGTCTCAACACTATGGTAGCCAGCAGCTCTTGTGTTTCCTCATGTGATTTTCTCACAAGGAGAGGGAGGGGAAATGATTAAGAGAGTAATTTTTAGTCCAAGATTAGAATTTATTGGTGCCTACTTGCTACTGTAGGCTGGGCAGGCAGAGCGGCTCCTGCCCCTGGTTCTGGAGCTGTTCCACCTTTCAGAGACACAACCAGCCAAAGGTCAGGGGACCCGCTTTGCTGCAGTGGGGAAATCAGGAGGGTGCGCCCCTCCTAGAGGTCAGATGAAGTACTGTCCCACAATGGATTGGAATTCTTCAGAAATGACTCCACAGCACAGATCGGATCTGCAAACTCAAGATTGATAGAAGGGTCTTGCTGTTCCGCTCAGGACCACCGCCCTAACCTCATTGGGGCCTCACTGTTCCTTAGAGTACCTCGGTGAGCTTCCCTGGTGTGCAGATGGAATGGATCCTTAAATGAGAAAGGTGGGCAGGGGGTATCCCAGCAAACTACATAGGCAGTGCCAAAGAAGGCCTTAGAGGTCTCCAATTCCCGCTCGGGGCCTTCAGTCCCAAGTCACTAGGCTGCTTCCAGAAGCGGGGCTGGATTGGGCTGCCTTGAGAAAGACACCTTTTAGCTGGCTGGGTAGGTACACATCTTTGAAACTAGCCAGGCATCCGGCTCCAGATGCTCCTGTTTGTAATGTGCCGTTTCCTTTAATGCTTACCAAGAAGGACCGGCCCCCTAAAGGCTATATAGCCTTGGGGATTACAACCCAGGTTTCAGGCCCCAGCTCAGGCCAGGTGAGGGCTCTCCCGCCTCCGGAGGCCTCTAAGCCGCTGAGGGGTCCCAGGTGGGGAGCTGAGGGGAGGGGCCGGGGCGGAGGCGATTGGCACGCGGGCGCGAGGGGCGGTAAAAGAAGGGGCGGGCGCGCGGGCAGGGAGAGTCTTGCCGCCGAGGGACCGCCCGGGGACGCACGCGGGGCGCGGGGCTGGCACCTCGTCCCCACCCACCATGAGCGCCAGCGGCCCGGGCCTCCCACTTGCCTCGCTCTACGTGGGCGACCTGCACCCCGACGTGACCGAGGCCATGCTGTACGAGAAGTTCTCGCTGGCCGGACCCATCCTGTCCATCCGCGTGTGCCGCGACGTGGCCACCCGCCGCTCGCTGGGCTATGCCTACATCAACTTCCAGCAGCCGGCCGACGGTGAGCCCGGGGCTGGGACAGGCGGGCTGACGCGGATGAACCCATCTCCCCATCCCCGCCGGCCGCTCTTCCATCTCTGCTCCTGCATCTTCCGTTTTGCAGCCAGGGAGCCCCCTGAGGCCCTGAGGCTGGAACTAGCAATTAGTGTGCGCCTACTGTGTTTTCCTGGTGCTCCAGCTTGGAAAGGGGAGGTACTAAGGCTGAGTGGAAACATCCAAGGGCTTTAGGGCCAGGCCAACCCTAGGATTAGAAAGCCAGCAGCTGTGTGACTTTAAGCAAATTACTCAACCATCCTGAGCTTCCCTTGCCTGTCTGAAAAATGGGGAGCGGGCCTGCTTGATAGAGTGGTTGGGAGAAGAAAATTCAAAGCACCTGGTGAGGGCGATGTGGGAGGCGACATAGGTAACCAGTGGGGAAGCCTGGAGAGCTGGGGCTGGGGCTCGGCCTCTGCCGGCTGCTGACACGAGGTCTGCACCAGGCGCTGTTCCCTTGACAAGCCCAGAAAAGCCGCTTCCACTTTAGGCTCCACAACCCGTTTCTCAGAGCTGATGGGATTGATTAGCGCCTGCGGGATGGGTGTGCCCACACCTCTGGTGAGAGAGGAGTTTAAGAGCCCGGGTTTTGTTCAAGTTCTGCCACTAGGGTGTGAGCTTGAGCAAAAGTTCACACTTGACACAGCACCTGTGAAATGAGAACTGAGGCTTGGAAGAACTGTCTATGAAGTCTCCAGAATATTGTATGGACTCAATAAGTGTAACCTAAGGGAAAAAAATAGTAACCAGCATTCAGGTGGAAGACTCCAGAAACAACCCAAAAAGGCCTGCCCTTACTGAGCCTTCAACCCAATCAGGCCCAGAGAGGGCGCCCTTACTCTGCATCTCCTGGGTGAATGGGGAGGTCTCTCCCAACTGGGGGGTGGGAGTGTGGAGGGGTGTTGGGGGGGTTCAGCCTGTTTCCCAGGGGATGGCTGAGCTGGATTCCAGGGGGACTTCTCCTTCGCTCTGCTTTCCCCACACACTGCCATTTCCAGCTTTCTCCAAGTTCTCTGCACACCTGACCTTTGGGCAGACTTCATAGATGGGGAAGCTGAGCTCCAGAGAGAAGGGGTTTAGCCCCTGGGTGTTCATTGGTAGAACTAGATGGAAAAACCAGACTCCACTGAGTTCTGCACAGTTCCTGTCCATCCTCTGGAAGTAGAGAATCCTTTAAGCAGGGGACAGCATGTTACCCGGGAGAGGTAAAGGCCATAGCAGTCGCAAGAGGACAGGCGCAGGCTGCTGTTTTCAGACACACTGCCATTTGCCAACCATCTGTTTGTGCCAGGTGCTAAGGACAAGGCACCTTGCATACCTTACTTAATTTTCAGCCTATCTGACTACCTAGAGGTAGAGGGTATTATTTCCCTTTGTTAGGTGTGGGAGGGTGGTTAATATCACTACCATCATCATCATCATCACTACTTGAGAGGAAGAAACCAGCTCAGAGAGGTGATGTTTGCCTCCCCCAAAATCTTTCTACTTCGGATCAAATTTCAACTCTGCTGCTCAGCACCTCTGAGCTTGAATTTCCTCTAACTGCTGCCACTGTTTGTCATAGAAGCCCTCCTTTACATTTTTATCTACTTGATGTGCTTTAGAGACCACTAAAGACCTGGCTCTGCCACTTATCTTTCCCCTTTCTGAGCCTCAGTCTTCCCTTCTGTAAAATGGGGGTAGGAATCCATGCTCACATGGCTATAGTGAGGAGTTGAAAGAGATCCTAAAAAGTGGGAGGAGTGCCATACACTTTAATTCTTACCCCTCCTGAGCTTCAGGCTCTTATCTCCAATGAGACCCTGACATTGGCTTTTTTTTTTTATTCTTTTTATTTTATTTTATTTTATTTTTTTGAAGGAGGCTCCCAATTAAGCACCTGAGGGTTCAAGGGGTCCCCTTAACTTGCTCCTTTCTCTCCTCCTGTCCAGCGGAGCTGGCACTGGATACAATGAACTTTGATATTATCAAAGGCCAACCCATTCGCATCATGTGGTCCCAGCGAGACCCAGGACTTCGAAAGTCGGGTGTGGGCAACATCTTCATCAAGAACCTGGAGGAATCCATTGACAACAAGGCCTTATATGACACCTTCTCCATCTTTGGAAACATCCTGTCTTGCAAGGTTGGTGTGCCCTGTTGAGGGGGTCTGGGTCAAGCACCTGTGTGGCAGAGGTATTCCAGAAGCACCTCACTTCACAGTATATGAGGTCTTTTCAGTTAACCTCTAGGTTCAGCAAGGACCAGAATGGAAGTAATTCTTTCAGTTCCATCTTCATATACCTATCAGAGGCCGCCTGTGTTTCAGTCTGCTCTTGCTGTGTAACCACCCTGAAGCTTAGGCACTGCCAACAGCTGTTACTTAGCTTATGATCCTGCAGTTGGTGATTTGGGCTGAGTTCAGCTGAACAGGTCTGGTCTTGGCTGGACTCCTTCATGTGCCCACAGGGAGCCAGGTGGCTCTAGGCAGTGGTGGGCTGTTAGCTGGACTATCTCATCTCTCCTCCCTGTCTGTCCCAGTCACAGAGTTAGCACTCAGATATTAGCTCTATCATCTTGCCGTTCTGTTCTACCCGAACCCCCTGTTGGCTGCTCTTCTTGCTCATTGTCTCTGTGGCCCAGGTGGTGTGTGATGACCACGGCTCCCGAGGCTTTGGCTTTGTCCATTTTGAGACCCGTGAGGCTGCGCAGCAGGCCATCAGCACCATGAACGGGATGCTGCTGAATAACCGCAAAGTGTGAGTGGCAGGCTTGGGGTGGACCGAAGCTGAAGGGACAGAATCATAGCATCACCAGCTGGGGTCCCATGCTACCCACCACCATCTAAGGGCCCCAGGCACTGAGCAGCAGCCGGTATTCTCCCTGGCACTGTGACCTCGGAAGAGTGGCTTACGCTCTCAAGGACTCCCTTTCCTCAAGTACAAATGGGCTTGCTGGCATATACTTAGAGGATTTTTCTGAGGAGTAAACGAAGTGATGATTCTGAAGGAATGGCCAGATCATCAATGGGCTCAGCCTTCTCAGCATGCCTGTGGATTTTTTTTGTCTTAAGCCTTTTGTGTTATTTCATGGGGTTTTTGGATGGGTGGCAAAGTAGGCATATGCGTGGCCGGCCATCATCATATGTATCAGTTTGGCATCATCCCCACTTCACAGAGGGGAAAATTGAGATGCAGACGCTGGAGAGAATCTCTTCGGGCAGTGCCCTCCCCCAGTTTTGCTTCTGCACATCTGAGGGCTCCGCCCCATGCTCAGCCCTGTGGAGCGATGGGGGCTTTGAGCGGGGAGGTGCCCGGAGAGTCATCCTGTCCAGGGTTTCCCAGGGGAAGCTTCTGTCAGCAAAACTGAACAATGGTGGGCTTTTCCCAGAAAGAGGTTATCTCATTAGCTATCATGTGTCCACGTTTACCTTTGCCACTCAGTTTTCTCCAAATTTTAGTGCCAGAGACAACTTGTTTGTGCTAAATGTGCTATAGATACTATCAAATTTTCTTATGTTTGGTTTTGTTTTGTATTTTCCTTCTATTAAAGAATATGTTTTATTGATTTTAGAAAAAGAGGAAGGGGGAGAGAGAGAGAAACATTAATTGGCTGCCTCCTGCATGCCCCCTACTGGAGCCTGCAACCCGGGCATGTGCCCTGACCCGGAATTGAACGGGTGACCTCGTGGTGCATGGGACAACGCTCAACCAACTGAGCCAACTGGCCACAGCAGTTTTTGTTTTTTTCTTTTTGCTTGATTTTTTACATAGAGAAAGGGAGAGAGAGAGAGACCTAGGAACATCGATGAGAGAGAAACATCGACCAGCTGCCTCCTGCACACCCCCTACTGGGGATGTGCCCGCCACCAAGGTACATGCCCTGGACCGGAATCAAACCTAGGACCTTTCAGTCCCCAGGCTGATGCTCTATCCACTGAGCCAAACCGGTTTTGGCTGTTTTTGTTTGTTTTTCTTAAGCGACGATACTTTCCTAGATGTGTTGACTTGAACTTGGAGATGACAATTTTTAAAGTGAATATTGTATTTAAGTTATTTCAGTCTCCCCACAGCAGCACTAGCATGGATCGTGTCTGGTTCTCCCACTACTGTTGCCCAGTGTACGTGGCAAATGAACGAGCAAATCCTTGTGGTGTGAGTTTGATCCCATTTTATAGGAATGAACACTGAGACTCAGTGAGATTAAGGAGCTTGCCCGGGGTCCCACAGCTAGGCAGGTGAGAGCGAGGATTCCAGTGTGACTCACAAGTTCATGCTCTTATCTCCTGTGCACTCAGCTGCCTGGTGTCTGGAGGACCTCCCCGTGTATTTGCCACAAGAATTAATTCTTCTTAACTTTATGCTGGCACATAGAATCTCGGCTGCAGAAGCCTTGGGTATATTCTAAGCAGTATTGTCCTGCCCAGTCTTCTGATGAGGGAATCGGAGGCCAGAGGCCGGTAGCAATTGGCTCCCATGACCCAGGGTTGTGGGCTGGGCTGGGATTGAGGTGGGGGTGGCTGGTGGCCGGCAGCTGCCTACCCTGTCGGTGTGTGGTGTGTCCACAGCTTCGTTAGCCAGTTCAAGTCCCGGCAGGAGCGGGAGGCTGAGCTGGGGGTGCGGGCCAAGGAGTTCACCAACGTCTACGTGAAGAACCTGAAAACGGACATAGACGAGCAGGGCCTGGAGGAGCTCTTCTCCCAGTTTGGTGAGTGTGTTTCCGGAGCGAGTTTGGGCTCACTTTCTCTTCTGCTCCCCAGCCAGGCTGGGAGGACAGGCCCTCCTGGGGCTTTCTGCAGACTTGGCGGGAGGAAAGGGGAACACCTTGGGGCGTTCCAAGCTCCCCTTTGAGCCAGGTTGGTCCTTCCCAGGGAAGACGCTGAGTGTGAAGGTGATGAGGGATGACAGCGGCCAGTCCCGAGGCTTTGGCTTTGTCAACTTTGAGAAGCACGAGGAAGCCCAGAAGGTAGGAGCCTCCTCCCGTCGCCCTGCTTCACGGAGAAGTGCTGAGCCAGGACTAGGAAGAAGGGAGGTCGGGAGCAGAGGGCTCCAGCTGCCTGCGGAAGGAAAGGTCACGAGCCAGGGCCCTTCCTGCCTGTGCTGAAGGCCGAAGGCTCAGCCTCCTTCCGGGCCTTCGGAGCCGTGAGGCTGCTTATTTTATAGGCTCGTGCTGCACAAGAGGTAGAAGGGGCCTTCGAGACAGCCACTGCCCTCTGCTTGAATTGTGGGACTGAGGCAGGGAGGGAAGTGTTATGCTATTTCTTATTTCCAAATGCTGTTTTCTCACATCACTTCCTTTTTCCTGCAGTTTAGACCAATGCTGTCCAATAAAAATGTAACGTGAGCCACATATGCAATTTAAAATTCTCCAGTAGATTAAAAAAAAACAATTTTCAATAGCCACATTAAAAAGGGTAAAAAAAAAACACAACTGTGAAATTAATTGTAATGTATTTTATTCAACATCAACATTTTCAAATGATCACCACGTCAACGAGTATTTAATGGAAAAGTCGAGATTTTTTTTACATCCCCTTTTTTATACTTAGTTCCTTGAAATCTGGTACCTCCAGCGCAATTCAGACCGGCCGTATTTCAAGTGCTTAGTAGCTGCTTGTGGCTACGAACCACCTTATTGGACAGCGTGGCTTTAGGCGACCTAGTGCCTGTCCTTTGGGTCTCCTACTTTCCCTCCTTCACGGAGCTGCCTCTTCCTGTTATCACTTAACTTGTGAAACCTTCTGTCTGTCTCCATGAGTAGCACATGAACAGAACCAAGAGTAGAGCCCTAGCTGGTTTGGCTCAGTGGATAGAGCATCAGCCTGCAGACCGCAGGGTCCCAGATTTGATTCCAGTCAAGGGCACATGCCCGGGTTGTGAGCTCCCCCCAGTAGGGAGCATGCCGATCAATGATTCTGTCTCATCATTGATGTTTCTATCTCTCTCTCCTTCTCCCTTCCTCTCTGAAATCAATAAAAAAAATATTATATATATATATATATAAAAAAAAGAACAGAGTAGAGGCTGGGTCTCGTTTCACCATTAAATCTCTAGTATTACACTTGTCAGTAGCTACCAGATATATATTTGCTGAGTGAGTGAATAGTACAAGGTCATACAATGACAAAGCTGGAATAGCAATGTTATATTTGGCCTCCCATAAGCTCTTTATGGCCAACCATAAAGCTCTTCCCATGGTTGCTGCCCCGTTAAGATCACCCGCCATGGAAGAGCTCAGCTCAGAAGAACTGGATCCGGTGCCATCTCCATAACAGCCTCCTCTCACTGAGCACTCAGCATGGGCCAGGCTCTGTGCTGGGGGTTTTGCATACATTCTCATTTCTCCCCCCACTGATATGGGCTCTGCTGCTGTTATTAGGTTTCATGGTTTGTATTAGGTTCCACTGGGATTAGAATAAACTCTTTCTGACTCTGAAGTATTGTTCTTAAGTAAATGGCTCTTTTGAAAGGTAACTTCTTGTGTGTCCTTGGACAAGTCCCACCCTCTGGGTTTTGTTTTCCCCAACTGCAAAGTGACAAGGGGGGAGTAGATGAATGAAGCTGGAGGGGTCCATCAACTCCAAGGTCTTAGAGACTTTGGTAATGATTTTTAAGACTGCTGTACAACAGGTAGTTCCTGGGTCCACAATGTATATTTACATATATTTGCATATTTAGGCAGGAAAGCAAAAGTCATCATTATGTGAAAGTATTTACTAATGAACAGACCACTGAAAAAGTAAGTTCCCTTCAACATTTCTCTTTACTAACACTATTATCTCATCCTAACTATTGAGCCGGTACTTATCTGATTTTTGCAGATAAGTCAATGCAAATTCAGTTTAGTGTAAATGGATTTCAGAGAGACATTTCATATCTCACAAAAGATATAGGATTTCATGCAATCAAGGCCACTGACAAGTTAGGGTCTGGTAGGCTTAGTCCAGTTAACTGAAGGAAAGCAAAACAAGCAGGGTTAAAACACCAGTATTTCTAAAACAAACGTTCTCATAATTAGCAAAAGGATTCTTTATGCCGTGAAATCCAACATGAAGTAGGAGATGTCGATTATGCTGTCATGCCATTTTGAAAGAATTATGCTTGCTGCTTTAAAAAAAAATCCATGTGTAGGTAGCTATAAACTTATTATCAAATATGGGAAACTGCAATTTCCCTTTTTAAAATAAGAGTCAGAAGCAAATTTTTAAAACTCTACAGTTTACTCTGAAATTTTGTCCCATGTGTTTAAAAAGTGGATGGCCTTTATCCTGGTACTAATTATTCTCTGCTAACAAGGCCAGCCTGGTTGGCAGATGGTCCCTTCTAAATCGGGAGGTGGGCCTGGAGGCCATGGCTAAGGCCAGGGCCTCATGGGGTGGTCACCACGCACTGTCACTCCATCTTCTCTGCCCAGGCTGTGATGGACATGAATGGGAAGGAGGTGAGAGGGCAGCTGCTCTACGTGGGCCGTGCCCAGAAGTGGGCGGAGCGGCAGAATGAGCTTAAGCGAAGGTTCCAGCAGATGAAGCAGTTGAAGCAGGACCGGCTGAACCATTACCAGGTGAGGGCCCCGAATGGGATTCCTTCCTCTAGCAGCCCCACGTCCGGGAACTAGGCTTCAGAGATTGTATGGGCTCCAGCCTCCAGGTGAGGGGCATGCTGTGTGATTGATGGGGGGTATGGGTATTGTGTGGGACTGGGAACAGGAAGCTGGGGGACCAGGGCTTCCACGGCCCACCACACAAGTCAGGGAGGAGCTTGGGGAGGAAGGCGTATCTAGCAGTGTCCTTTCCTTCCAGGGCGTGAACCTGTATGTGAAGAACCTGGATGACTCCATTGATAATGAGAGGCTGAGGAAAGAGTTCTCTCCCTATGGAGTGATCACCAGTGCCAAGGTGAGGGCTGTGGGTGCCTCCAGTGGACAGATAGCCTCCCCCTCCTATCCTCTCACTGCCCACACACCCCTTCTTCCTCCCATGCCCTTCAGGCAGTTGGTGCTGAGCCACACCTTTTGGATTTGGGGGCTTTGTCTGACCCCGTTGGAGCTTGTCTGCACTGGAGGGAACGAGAATGGTAATACAGTCCCAGGCACACAGCTGGTCTTATTGGGGCACACTGAAACCTTGGTTCATTCGACAAGCATTATTGAGTGCCTACGATATGCCAGATTCCAGAAATACATGTCTTAGCATTTCCATTGACTTTGTTGTCTGGTCTTGACCAGTGATATACTCCTCCTGGGCCTCAGTTTCTGCATCTGAAAAATGAGAGGGTTGGGCTATATCATTCTTCATCTATTCATTTGTTAAGCATTCTTAGTACCTGATGTGTGATGATTGACTGTTCTACTCAGTAGCTCTGTGACCTTGAGCAGATGTCTTCTGAGCCTCATCTATAAGATGAGGGAGTTGGGCTCACTGGATGCTGCTTCAACGCTGACTGCTCACTAAAATCCCCTAGAGAGCTCCTAATACAGAGCCTGAGTCAGAAATTGCATGTAGATGTCTGAATTGATTTTAGAGAGAGGAAGGGAGAGGGATAGAGATAGAAACACTGATAAGGGAGTAACATCAATCCAGCTGCCTTCTGAATGCCCCCGCTACTGGGGATCGAGCCTGACTAGGAATCGAACCGTGACCTCTTGGTTCCTGGGTTGATGCTCAACCACTGAGCCACACCAGCCAGGCTTTGAGAATAGTTTTAAATGTATAAAGGAAAATTCATAGGATTACAAAAACAATTATATTGAAATAATTATCAAAACACTAAGGTGACAGCAGTATGTGCTTCTTTATTAATGTATCAAACTATAAGTTTAATGAAGTAGCAATTAGCATAAAAGATATTTGAGATCAGCAATAATGAATATGAAAATATTTTTTCTTCCCCCAAAGTCACATTTTTTTGTTCTTACATTCAAAATAGGAGGAAATACTAATGTGAAAATACAGATGCCATTTTTTCCCCATTTGAGTTTACAGACCCCCTGATCCCATCTATTGACCTCCCTGTGGATCTGTGAACTCTCAGGTCAAGCAGGTAGCAAAGTACTGTTGGAAAATCACCGATGTAGAGCATGGGCTCTAATAGAGCAGATTAAAAAAATTATCTCAACCCCATTGCTCATGGAGGTGAGCAGGGCTGGCCTAAAAAAGATGAAGAACTCTAAATGTAATGTGGATTGGATCCTGGAAGAGGAAAAGAATATTAGCAGTAAAACTAGTAAAATCCAAATGAAATGTCTGGTTTAGTTAATAGCCTAGTAGCTAACATTGTAGTTGATAGTGCTGTGCCAATGTTACTATGGTAGTTTGGACGAATGTAGCATGCTAACACGGGGAGGCAAGCTCAGTGAAAGATATACAGCAACTCTGTTCTATTTTTGAGACTTTTCTATAAATATAAATATTCCAAAATAGAAAGGTTATTTTAGTTAAAAGGCTAAGAACCTCTTCCCCAGATTTTGAAAGACCTGGCTCAGGCCTTGTGGAGGCAGTGGGAGTTTACCGGACGGTACATTGGCTGAATGTGTGACCCACTGGCTGGGTGACCCAGGAAGAGTCACTCTTTTTTTTTAAATGGTAAAAAAGACTTTTATTTCTACCAAAAAGATAATTAACATGTTAAAGCACCAGAAATAGAAATTCAACTTATTTTCATGTTTTTACAATTCTCTTTATTGGAGTCTCTAGAAAATATAGCTGTAAAGAGCACCCTTTTGAAGAAGTTGTATGAGTAGTTGGGAAAACCCAGCCCTAGCCAGTGTGGCTCAGTGGATAGAGGATCAGCCTGCAGACTGGAAGGTCCCAGGTTCGATTCTGGTCAAGAACGCATGCCAGGGTTGCAGGCTCAGTCCCCAGTAGGGAGCATGTAGGAAGCAGCCGATCAATGATTCTCTCTCATCATTGATGTTTCTATCTCTCTCTTTCCCCCTCCTTTCCTCTCTGAAATCAATAAAAATATGTAGTGTAAAAAAAAAGAAAACTCAAGAAGTGGTTGAAATGCAGATTGTTTTCATCACTGCGACTTCAACGGAAATGTTTAAGATGGTGGCCCTGGCTGAAGAACCAGCCCTAGTCTTAGATTCTTAGCTAACCTTAGCCGATCATCTGACTTCATGATAGCCTCTCTGAGGACGGTTTATACATTTAATTAAGCCAGCTTCCCACCACAGCCTAAGAAAATCTTTCAGAAAGAAAATTGAGAGAGAGAGATATTCTGAAATGCAGCTCTTCTCCCTAATTCTGCGAATGGTCTGTGCAATATGAGTAGCTGTTAGTCAGCAAGGTCACTCTTGAGCCCCACTTTCCTCACCTATAAAGTGGGAATCATAGTGAAGTGGGGAGTGTCAAGTATCTGGCATGTGGTGGGCCTCAGTGAATGCAGGGTGACAGGACACCCCGATAGTAAGTTTCTGCTGGTCCTGCTCAGGACCAGGCTGGGCCCTGGGGGAGGAGGGGAGCCGGCCCCGGGGGTCTTCCTTCCCCTCCCCCAGCAGCCCTTGTCTTGTCTTGCTTTTAGGTGATGACAGAGGGTGGCCACAGCAAAGGGTTTGGCTTTGTGTGTTTTTCCTCTCCAGAAGAGGCAACGAAGGCCGTGACAGAGATGAACGGGTGCATCCTGGGTACCAAGCCGCTGTACGTGGCGCTGGCTCAGCGCAAAGATGAGCGGAAGGCCATCTTGACCAACCAGTTCATGCAGCAGCGCCTCTCCAACGTGTGGGCCCTGGGTGGCCCCCTCTTGGGCTCTTTCCAGCAGCCTGTCAGCTACTTCCTGCCCACCGTGCCCCAGGTGAGGGCCTGCCTGCAGCCTGACAGCCAGGCAGAGCAGGAAGAGAGCTTCCAGGCAGACATAGTTCCCAGCCTGCTTCTGCCTGAAACAGCAGGCTGTTTTAACCCCATTTCTAAAAGCTGATGAAAACTCTTCTCTAAGAGTGTCGCTGTCAAACAGCACTTCCGTATGGGAGAGAGATTTGTGAATGGTGTGCTGAAAAGATTCTTTGGTCAAATTTCAGTTTGAGAACTACTGCAGTAAACAAAGGAAGCATGGGTCTCTTGACCACACACATTGTTTTACCCTACCATGCCATTCTGACCTCCCACATGGACAGAGTCGGCAGCCCTCCCCCAACCTAAGTGGCCATTTTTGCAACGTGCCTGCTACCACCTCCGAGGGGCCTGGTTTGGGAAAAGAGCTTGTGGGACCCCCGAGGAAGCAGAAAGATGTTAGCCACTAGAGGCTCCTAGAATGGGGACATTCCTGCTCCTGTTAGCAACTGCTTTCAGAGGTACACGTTCCAGAGGACGCGTCACCATTGTATCCAGGCCGTTGGGCTAGTGGCTCTGATAACAGGGATGAGGACTGAACCTGAGATCTTGACCAAAGAGTTGAGGGGAAATGGCTGTCCCAATATGGGAGGCAGGCCTTCATCCTAGCTTTGTGGGTCTTTACATCCCAGCTTTGTGGAGTTCTTGCGGTGACCTCCTTGGGGGGATGTAGTTCCCACTTTCCCTGCTGCAGCCCCTCACCTGGGTCTTCTTCTCCCACAGCCTCCAGCCCAGGCTGCATGCTATGGCTCTGGCCCGCCTGCCCAGGCTCCCCCCAGCTGGACGGCCCAGCCACCTAGACCCTTGAGTGAGTGATCCAGCCCCTTCCACCCCTGAGTGTGGGACCCATGGGGGAGTGTGTGACATGGTGGTTGAAGAACATGAATTTTTGGGGTCAAGCCTGGCTCTGTCACCTCCTAAAGAGTTCATCTGGGTGGGTAACTTTCTCTCTGAGCCTCAGTTTCCTCTCCCGAATGTGGGCCTGAATGAGATAGGGGTAAGCGCACCAAGCACAGCACTGACCCTGTAAAAGGCTCGCATTGTCTTCAGTCTGATTTGTGGCTGGAGATTCCTGCGAAGCTGAGAAAATGAATCTCCTTTGGCCGTGTTGCTGACGAGTGGCCCTTCTCTAAGATCTGAAACTGTCTGGGGGGACGAAGAGCTGTGATCATGATGCCTGTGCCCCTTGGGGCTCTGGGGAGATGGGGAATTGATTTGTAATAGGAACTTGCCACACCCCCTCCCAAGAGTTGGGGGTCTGCCTGACCAGCTGGATTCACTCGTCTTCCTGCTGTGAATGTTCTGGTTCCCCTTCCGCACCTGGCACTGTCAGGGGGTGCTGTGCTACTCTGATTAACGACCCCCCTTCCTGCCACCCTTTCTCTTTCCCTATTCTCTGTACCTCAAGCCTCCTCGATGGCCTGGTCACCAACCACGTCTCAGCTCTCCCCAACCCACATCGGCAGTGACGAGAAGGCCTCTCCCCAGGAGCCACTCCAGATGTCCTACACCCAGTCAGTGGGTGAGGCCAGAGGAGAGGGTGTGCAAGGGGGCTGGGGCAGGGGCTTGGTGCTGGGTTGGCACTAGCAGGGAGTTCGAACCAGCCTTCATGGTGACCTTGCCATTCACCGTCTTGGAGAGCAGGGCTGACTTTGAGGCTGTGTGGTACAGTAGTTGGTGTGTACTCCAGAGTCTTGCAGGCCCAGTTCCTGGGGTTCGCTTACTCTGTGGCCTTGCTAACTACTATTATCGGATTGCCTCATCTTTAAAGTGGGGATGAAAACAGTTTTCCCCTTTTGTTGTGTGGGTGAATGAGATCATAAGTGTAGGGGCTTAGCATCGGATCTGAACTTAGTAGGTTCACAGCAACAGCTATGAGCAAGGGCATAGATTTTGACTAGAGGTAAGCACGTGTGGCAGATGTTTGTGGATCTATGTGCTGCGAGTTCTACATGAATGCTCATCTCTAGGCTTTGTCGCTTCGGGTCGCGGTCAGGCGCTAACATCCCTGCTATTTCTTACAGCCAACATTGGTACCCAGACCTCTGGCCTTGGTGAGGCAGGGTGCTCTATGCCAAGTGGGCCTCTCCTGACACAGAGGTATTCCTCAGAAACGCCCAGCACCCATGAGGTAAGACTGATCCAACTGCCCTCTTATCTGGGCGCCGGGGGGAAGGGGGAGTTGGCTAGAACCTTGGCTAAGGCATTGACCCTCTGGACCTTTTATTGGCTTATAAAGTTTCACTTATTAACAAGGTACAATCAAAAAATGATCACCCTTACTAACAGAAGGAGGGAAAGGGTCAGGACCACGTTTTATTATTAGTTATGATTTGCTTTGCCTGGGTTATTACCAAAATTAATTTGGATTTCCTTAGTACTTATGTGTTGAGCAGCAAGGATGTGATTAACCAAAACAGAACTGAAAATATCTACTGTCATTATAAGTTTGAAGGCTGTATATTTATCTCCCTGTACTCCCCCAAAAAGTCTCAAACTCAGCATTTTCATCTCCTGTCTAGAATTTCACTGTGTATGCTTTGAACTACCTCTTGCAAAATGCACAAGAGTAGTCATTAAAGAGCAAATGCTCTTCATGTTATCAAGATGTGAAAGGGTCAGAAGTATGGAGGAAATATGGCCGTAAAAGCTACTGGATCAAAAGTGCTTTGTTTGACACAAAGGGATTAGTAAGGTGTGGCTTCGTTTGGCAACATGGACTGGGGGCATTTAGAGGTTCCTAGCACCATGGAAAACATCTACCTCAGAGTGTAACTTTGTCAGCCAGCCCACCGTGCCCTTGTTGGAGACTCTGTCCCACCCAGGTGTCCATGCCTGGCCCCCTGCTCCCCTCTTCCAGAGCCTTCCTGGAGGCCTGTGCCCACCTGACAGGGTTAAATGTTTCAAGGCCTTGCCTGTCCGGGTGTTAAGGGATGTGTCCCCGGCACCCTGTGCAGGTCCAGGAGCCTGCTGTGTGCATCCCCGGACAGGAACCCCTGACCGTGTCCATGCTGGCCGCAGCACCCCCGCACAAGCAAAAGCAGATGATCGGTGAGTGGCTGGTTGCCCTGCTCTGGAGCAGAGGAGGGGGGCTGGGAGCTGACTAGTCTGGTGGGGAGCACCAAGTGGAGGTCAGACATGAGGACAACATCTAGCTATGTTGCTGGCCAATCTGCTGAGTGACCTTGCCGAGTTGGGCCTGTAATCTAGGCCCCGTTCTCTCATCTTAAAATACTGGTCAAATGAGATATTCTTGAGGTTCCTTCAGCTATGCTATACTTGACTTTGACTTAGGCTGGGCGAGACCCCAGATGTGGGGAGGTCTGGGGTCAAGAGGAAGAGTGTGGTTTTGGGTTTCTGCTGGGACATGGCCCCTAAGGAGGGTGTTACGGTTCCTCACACCTCCCCTGACTGGGAAGAAGCTGTTGCCAGATTTCATCAGCTGCCCCAATGGTGCCCATTACAGGGAGGTTGTAAGTAAATGTGCATTGGGAAAATGGACCACTGGACCCTGACTTCCTGTGTAGTTCATCCCGAGTCTGTGACAGGCCCTCCTCAAGGGCACCACTAACTGTTGAATGAATGAACAAGCTAGTGGTTGGCAGGTTCTTCTCTTCAAGTCCACCAAGATCTCCTAACCCTTCTCTGCAGGCCCCACTGCCACCGCCCCATTGTTTCCTCAGCTCACTTGGCGTAGTGCTGTGCCTCAAAGAAAAGGTCTTTATTTCCTGTACCTCAAAGAAAAGGTCTCAGTGGGCTTAATGGAGGCAGAGGGCTCTCTTAGCAGATCCTTGCAAACATCTGCACTTTCATCACGGGAAGATCTCTCCCACTCACACTCAGGGCACCCCAGCACCCCAGCACCCCAGCCTGGCTAGACTTTCCACATATTGCCAAAATGGCTGACCACCAACACTAGGCCCCGTCATTAGAAGTACCAGAATGGTGGAAGGTGAATTTATCTGGTGTATTTGGCTCCTCCCTCTCCAACCCCCCCCCCTCCCAAAAAAAAACCACCAAAAAAAAAACAAAAAAAAAAACCAGGTTCAACATTATCATATCCTGTCTAGAATCTTAGTGTGTATTTGAAACTATTTCCTGCAGAATGAACAAGGCTGGTCTTTAAAGAGCAATCATCTTTGTATCAGACCCCATGCAGCTACTTTATATCTAGCATCAAATACGATGCTGCAGATTGACCTCCAAAATGGGGTTTGCTATGCCTTCATTTGGGAAAGAGGCTGAGGGTCACCAGGTTAAGTAAGAGGACAGTCTGGAAGGAGTGGTTCGGGGACAGCCACCCAGATGCCTCACTGCTCCATTCCTCAATACCGCCCCCGGGGTGCTGGGCTAGCAGCCGGGTGTGTGTGTTCATAAGCCATCAGAGGCTGTTCCATCCAGGTGAGCGTCTCTACCCCCTTATCTACAATGTCCACACTCAGCTGGCGGGCAAGATCACGGGCATGCTGCTGGAGATCGACAACTCAGAACTGCTGTTCATGCTGGAGTCTCCAGAGTCCCTCAATGCCAAGGTGGGCTGGGCTGTGGGTGGCAGAGCGCCAGAGGGCAGGCGGAGAGCGAAGGTGGCTCCTAGATGAGCCAGCAGGCTGCTGCTCGGACAGATGAGGTTTATCTTCTTGCTAATACCTGCAGAATCGTGGCGTGCGGTAGAATCACCGCTGATTCTCTGCAGCTCCATAGACAAGGCTTTGGCACAAGGAGCTGTGTTCTGTAAGGGTTATCATTTCCCCAGCAGTGTTCGTCTGTCTTGAGAAGGTGACCGTGGGTTTCCGTCCTGGGAGCTGGCAAGCAGTAGCCAGATGAGGGTTCTGCAGAAATGCTGTGGAGGGAGGGGAACTCTTGTCTGTAGTGTGCTGAGGCCTGTGGAGGTCAGGGCTCTCCGGGGACCCTTAAGGCAGCTGCACTAAGTCCCTCCCACTGTCCCACAGGTAGCAGAAGCTCTGGCCGTGTTGCACGCAGGCTCACCAGACCACAGAGGAGGAGGAGAAGATGAAAGCGAATGTAATTGAAACCAGGTGGGTGGGTGGGGTTGAGAAGAACGGTGACAGACGTAGCTGAGCCCAGAAGCACTAAGGAACTGGGCAGGGACTGGCCGGCTTTCACAAAGTCCCTGAGAACCATGTGTGACACTGTTTTCTCAGGGGGAAGCTGTGAGGATCAAAGGAGAGGACCAGCTGTGTGACTGGAATGGGTGCGGACTATCAAAGGGGAGGAGGTGTTCTCTTGCTGGCTGCCGGCCCCATCTTCCTAATAGGCCTGGCTTCCCCTGGCACCTGTCTGCCTGCCTGAAGGCCTGGCTTGGTACAGCCCCTGTTCTTAGTGGGGAGACCAGGTGTCTGCCATACTTGAGAAACATTTTTTTTTTTTATTTTTTATTTTTTGTCAAACAACGAAACCACATATATTTATTTGGTAAAGATTTTAAAAACACCAGTAGAGACATAGCTAAACTTTGGGAAATTGAGATCTTGTTAGTTGTTTTCACTTTATGAGTAACTGCAAAAATTAAAACAAGAATATGACAAACATAAAGGAATTAAAGGAAAAAAGAGAAAAGAAATCCTGAATGCATTTCATAGAATTTAATTTTTGTTACATGGAACTTTTTTCAGAGCTCTGTTTATTTTCTACTACATCTAGTGCTTCATTTTATTATTATTATTATTATTATTTTTACTAATTCCTGGGTTTTTGAAAACTAAAGTTTTAACCAAACTAAAAACAGACCTCTTTTTGCTTTTATAAATGTGTGTAAACAAATGCAGTTATTTCCCAATGAAAGCTTTCTGTCACATGAGCAGTTGGGAGCTGTCATGCCTGTGACAGAAAGGCTGCATTTACGGCCCAGCCGCTCAGGCTGTCTGCAGTCTGTGCCATTTGATATCAGAACATCAAATCCTAAATGTTGAGTTTACATTTATACCAAGTTTTACTAAAGTTTAAAATGAGAAGGAATACTTGGACCTAACTGGTTCTACTGAATCTCTCTCTCTCTCTCTCTCACACACACACACACACACACGAATAAAATAGAATTCAGCCATTGAATTATTGACATGTTATATATTCTGAGAGATTAAGTGAGAGAGGATTGAAGAATTGGGAGTTCCTGAAGTATGAGGATTTTCTCCAAAGAATCTTATTATAGACTGAATGTGAACCCCCACCCCCAAATTCATAGAAACATTTAATTTTACTTTTTTGTCCTCAGAAACTGGAATCCTCACTCCCTTGGCTGACAAGAGAACAGTGTTCCTGCTCTTGGCTCTGAAGCCCTGTGAACCATAACTTATTTCCTAGTTGGGCTGTATCTGTACCTGAGCTCTGTATGTGGAACGAGGGCTGTATCTGTACCTGAGCTCTGTATGTGGAACGAGGGCAGCCAGCCCATGACCTTTTTCTTTTTTTACTTAATTTATTGGGGAGACACTGATTAATAAAATTAGAGAGCTTTCAGGGGCACAATTCTACAGCACATCATCTGTTCACCACCCTGTCTCTGTCCATTACCATTCATCCCCACTACACCCGCCTTCACCTTCCCCAATCCACTACTCCCCTCCCCGCCCCTTTTGTGCATTAAAAGTGCTGCAAACTGGTTTGTCTTCCAGGAGGCCTTCTTGGGTGAGGGAGGTGGGGCAGAGCAAAGGGTAGGCCTGACTGGGCTGGGGCTTTGGTTGTAAGGGTCAGAAACCGGATGAGCGCTGAAGTACACAGAGGGTGTGGACAGCAGCACGAAACTGCTGGGCCTGGGGCAGCAGCTACCACCCACCCATGTGCAGCGGACGGATAATTGGTTGTCCACGCAGCACCGAGAAGTGAAAGCTGCAGGTGCCCACACCTGGATGCCTGGCTTGAGTGCCTGCAGTGCAGGGAAACACCCTGGAGGCAGCAACTGCTTTTAGGCTCTGAACCAAAGACTGTGTAACGTGAAGAACTCCTGTGGAAATGCTTTAGCTACCTTCTGGGCCACGATTTTCCTCCCCTGTAGGGAGGGAAAAGCTTCTTGAGGTTGTAATAGTCTCAGCTTCTAAGTTTTCATTAGTAAATCCACATACTTGCCTTCTAGAACTCAAGAAGAGAAAGTCAGTCAGTCGTGACTGGATGTCACCACTAAACCTGCCTCAAACCAGGTAAGAGGCATGCCTGCTTACGAGGGGGCAGTTAGAGGGTACAGCTCCCGCTTTGAAATGGTCCCTGGCCACGGCGTCTGTGGACCCCAAAACCCGCTTCAGCTCCAAGGCTGGGTTGCTCAGCGGACTCCTCCCTCAGAGGTTGGGAGCATCGTGCTAACACTGCTCAGCACTGTGACGGGCAAATGGATGAGGAAAACTCTGTCTGCTTTGTTTTATGGAGTCATCAGGTATGGCTCCATGAAGAGGAAAACAACTGAACCAAGACACAGGCCAGGAGAGGGAGGCAGCGTGGCTGGCTGCGAGACACTGTCCACCCTTCTGTCCAGACGGTGTTTGGTGTTTGGTGAACCGGAGCGGCACTTTCTGATCTCTGTGCTCCCAATGAGGGCCTGTACCCTCCCTCTTCACCAGCTGAACTCCCACCTTAGAGCTCAACTCAAACCAACTTCCTCGGGGATCCTTTTCCTTGTAGCAGGGAAAGTACTGTGTGAGGACTCCCCTAAAATGTGTAAGTTGGCCGTAGTTTTACACTTGTTCCTGGGATCATCAGATTAATTTCTCACTGTCCCACTAGACTGTCAGCCCTCTGAGACCAGGGACCGTGTCCACTCACTCATGGTTTCCCCAGCAATGTGGGGCCTGGGCCGAGCAGACATTTCAGTGAATGATTTGTTCAATGATTAGCTGAATGCTAATCGAAAAGTGGTAGCTTTTATTGTTATTGCAAAATTTTCAGCACAGAGCTGAAAAAAGCATAAATGAAAGTACAACAGACATTTTTTGTAGAAGAAAAATGTTTAATGTAATCGCTTAAACACACAGTTCAACAAAACCGAGTCAGTTCAGTTCAAATTAACTTCATATAACAAAGAAATAAGAAGCCTGGAGGGCCACTGTTGGGTCAAAAGTCCCTGCCCAGAACAGAAGGTCACTGACTTCAAGGCGGCCTTTCTTCCCACTCACCTCCAGGAGAAGTGGCCACCTCTGGGCTCCTGACACAGTCAGGCTCCTCCATGCAGGCGCAGCACAAGCCCCAGGCAAAGCCACACCAGGGTCAGGGTTCTGCATCCCTACCAAAGCGGGGCCTGGCCAAAAAGGGCTGGAACTCAGAACACAGGGGATACGCCAAGGACAGGGCAGGATGGCAGCCCTGGAGAACCAGCTCAACAGGCTGCTTTAGGTGTGGATGGGCCAAGGTTTTCTAGTCCTGTGGCCCCCGCTTCCACACCCCCAGCTTAATCTGCTCATGAACCACAGTGAGGCGGGTCTGGTGATGCTCCTAGGGCAGCACTCAGTCTGGAGCATGCTCAGGGCAGGGACAGGGCCCAGCGCTTGCTGATAAGGACCTGTTTGTGTGATCTGCTAGCTGTCCAGGCAGGGGGATGGAGAACAGGGCTTCAGCATAGCATGGGACCTTCCCAGAAAAACAATGTGTTTTTTGCTGCACTGAGCTTAATGTGAACACAGCCTCTTAAGGGGTAGGAGGCTACTGCCGCTTTGTAGGGCAGAGGGAGGGTGCTTCAGAGCTCACTTGGGGGCATGCTGGGTCCCAGAAACACACAGAGGAAGGCATCCAGTGGAGGTTTTCTGCTGCCCTTTTGGGATTTTAGTTTAAGATCTGGTTAACTTCTTGCTGCAACTTCTGTGCAGGGACATTCTTAGGCTCGATTTTCAGGAGACTGTTGATGTCTGCAAAGCTGGATTTATAGTCCTAATGGAAGAGAGAAGGAAGGGTGTGAGGATGGCACCATGACTGAGGTGAGATTAAGCGGGGTGGGAGGCGAGAGGGGAAAGACAGCTGCTGAGACAGAGAAGCTTTTCAAACCCCAGCATATAGGTCTGACAGGAGCTGCCTGGGCCCCCGGATGCAAAGGGATGTAGCAAACACCACCTTGACCATCTGGAGGTGCCACCACAGGCACAGATGCCTGTAGTTTAGTTAAGGAGGATCTTACCTTGAGTGCCTTATAGGCTTGAGCCCGTCTGTAAAATGCCTTCACGTTCTTCCCATCCAGCTTGAGTGCTTCTGTGCAATCCTTCACCGCTTCCTTGTACTGCTTCAGAGCCAAATAGCAGAGCGCTCTGACGGAAGATCGTTCCGAGGGGTCAGTCACTTAGGGGCCACCCAGAACCAGACGGTTTGAGGAGTGACCCTGATTCCCTGAACACCTACCTACACTGTGCTGCTTACTTTACATGTTCTCAGTCCTCTCATCAACCCAGCCCCTTTCCACAGTGAAAACGCGGCTTAGGGGTGAAGCGCCTTAAGTTTCTACTCCTCCTGAGGGGCAGACCTGGACTCACCCTGGCTTCTCCTGCCTCCAGCCCGGGCCTCACTGAGCTCCAGCATTTAGTCTACCTCATATCCCCATACTATGCTCTTTGAAGCCAAGAAAAAGTTTCCTGAAACCTTCCCCCTGACAGATTAAAAAGTTACCTGCTTTAAGAAAAATACTGAGATTTAATTAATGATATGTATGCTGTTGTATGAGGGCGAGATATATAGGTGTCTGCAACTTTGAAAAGCATAAAAAATAAACATGGATCAGCAGATGGCTAAATAGTGATAAAGCAAATGCAACAAAATGTTAATTATGAAGTTAGATGGTAAGAATATGGGTGTTCAATGAAAAATCTTTCAACTTATATTAAAAATGTTCAAAATAAAATATTGGGGAAAAAAAGTCCTGCTCATCCATCCAAGCCACTCTGCGCCTATGGGGGAAAGTGTGTTTATCTCAATTCTAGTCCTTTCTCCAAAGACAGTCACTAAAAACGATATCTTGGAGCTCAGTATGGAAATCCATCCATTCCACCTCATCATTTTCAACGGGTATAAAGTAGTCACTTAGTTGTATGTACCTATTTATTTATTTTTTTCTATTACAAAGCAGTCTTAAAGATAAAGTGAGTGAGTGAAAGGAACCCAAGCTTTGGAGTTACAAAGACCTGGCTTCAGTCACAACTCTACCATGTATGAGTTGTTTAACTTGTGCTTGTTAATCCACCTTTCCAAACCTGTTTTCTCAGATAAAATGGGACCATGACCTAGGCTGAAGAATTGTTGTAGGAGAAAATGAGTCTCTGGAGGTCCATGCAGGAGCTGGCCAGCTGTAGGGGCCAGGTACCAGAGTGGTGATATCCACTTAGGTATCAACTGCACTCAGAGAACTGAAGTGAGCCCAAGGTGATGCTCACAGGGCATGTGCATGATGGGGCATTGAGATGACATCCAGGATGTGGTGTAATTTCAGTCACAATGGATGGAAAATTTAGTTTTGTAGTTATCAGTCCTCTAAGTTAAATCAATAGATTCAATGTAATCCCAGTCAAAAATCCAAAACACTCTTGGGAATTTGTCAATTGGTTTAGCTAGAAGAGCAAATCTGGGGAAATAGCCAGGGATGCTTGGATTGAGAAGTACAAGGAAAAGACCAGCCTAAAAAATATTATAAAGCAACAGTACTTAACACTGTGACACAGACACATGTGCATGAAAATGGGTTCCCAGAGGTCTCCAGGAACATGAGGTGAGCAAGGCCTAACGTCTCTTTCTCTGGCTGATTGGAACAGGATGCCTCCGTCTGCCAGGCTAACTTGAAAAGATGCTGCAGCCCTCTTTTTCAAGTTAGCCTGGCAGACGGAGGCACCCTGTTCCAATCAGCCAGGAAAACCACAGGTCCACAATTTAAGCTTCAGTTTGAAAGTTATCTTTTCAATTCCTTAGGCAGTAAACTCTGACTTGAACCAACATGAGGCTAAGTCTTTCTTTTTTGTTGTTTTGTTAATCCTCACTGGAGGATATTTTTCCATCAATCTTTTAGAGAGAGTGGAAGAAAGAGGGAAAGACAGAGAAGCACATCGATTGGTTGCTAACTCTTAACTGCACAAGCCCTGACCAGGGCTGGGGCCAGGGAGGTGCCTGCAACCAAGGTACATGCCCTTGACTGGAATCAAACCTGGGACCCTTTGGTCCTCAGGCTGATGCTCTATCCACTGAGTCAAACTGGCTAGGGCAAGGCTAGACTTTCTTTATACCACCACATGTGAATGTGGAATTTACTTCTGCTTCATTGCAGAAATGCTAACAATTAACTTCACAAGCTGTCCCCGACCATAAATGGTATGTGATTCAGTATATGGACCACATTACCTCACTAAAATATGAAACACAGATTTGGATAAGGAAGGGTGAGCCTATAGTAGGTCCAAGATCTTTGAACTAAAGAGTAACATGTGCTGCAGGTACAGGGTCTTCTACAGCACCGGGAGTCTCACCCCCAGGTTGGCCTGGACTCGTCTCTCACTCCCAGGTCAGGCGGTAATTACTCCATATCCTGGGTTCTGCCTTGTGCTCTCAGGGCCAAAGTTTCTAATGTGAGGGTTTTGGAGAAGCCATGGGGTTGGATCAGAATAGGTGGAAAGGCTACAAGACTAGTGTTGAGGTTGTGTCTGTATAGCAAGACATCGTAAATGAAAATTCTGGGGAGGGAGGTTAAGAAAGCCCAGGTTCCCCTTTGGCATTTCTCAGTTTCTATCCCTTTAAGAGAGTGAATGCCACTAACAATCATGCCACATGAGTGTGAATGCATGTTCTGAGCTGTAACATACTGACTAAATGCTAGGGAAGGAGAGCCCACTGCAGTCCAAGAGCAGATTATGGAACGGAATGTCCAATGTCCTGAAATCCCCAGCCAGCAGCTGAGGGGGAGGTACCTGTTGCTGTACGTGGCGGACTCCAGGTTACTGTACGAGAGGCTTTCACTGTACTTCTCAATAGCTTTCTTATGGTTTCCCTTCTTTACGAGCTCATTGCCTTCTTCCTTCAGAGCTCTGGCTCTCTCCACATCCCCAGAAGAAGGCACTAGATACAAATTCAGAAGAGGAAAAAACCATGGAGCAGGTGCCAGACTGAGATCGGTGAGGTCTCCAGCATCGTCTAAGTTGTCCACAACCCTCCCCAGAGGCTTCCTATGCTGCTGTAAAGCGTCCCTCCTGAGCAATGATCCCCCCAATTGATGGCTTCTGGGAAATAAACACAGTTTTTCATTCAGAAGAGGTTGAGGACTCCTGATATAAACATACTTATACATGCACATAATAACACATGATAAAAAGCACCTTGGGTTCTAGCCTTGGCACTGCCACTTGGCAGCAGGAAGATCTTGTGTGACCTACCTTCTCTGTTGGATCTAAATTTCCTCACCAATACAATGGGGCAACACCTCCTCTACACAGGACTATTGTCAGAGAAAATCTGAGACTACACGAGAAAATGTAGAACCCCCTATGAACTCAAAGCAGGAGAATAATTAAAATTTAAGCACCTGGTAAAGCAAGGGTGTAGCTCCCAGGCTTTCAGAAAGAGGAAGAGGAGTGCTATTCCTCATCACTGTTCTGGGTTGAGCCTCACCTAACATCTGCCCCAGCTTTCAGAGAGAAATAGGAGAGGGAAGGTACAATCCATGCTGCTCAGCCTGGCCTCCAGGCCTGAATTAATTGTTCCAGCCCCAACTACTGTATCACCTGCTATTTTATAAAACAACATATATGATAAGAGTAATGTTTTAGGAGTAAAACCAATACCCTCACTTTATGAAGAAACAGCATTTATGGGGACTTTTACAGCCCTTTGGGCTCTTCCTCAAGTCAATCCACCCCCGGAGGGAACCATTATCCCCACTGCTGTACATACTTTCCCTTTTTGTTTTTGGTAGTTTACTTTATACAATAGTATTTATAAACCATTTGTTTGTTTTTGAATTTTATGCAAAGGAACAAATAATTCTATGTATTCTTCTATAACCTTGTTTTCTTTTCCTCCTTGTTCAAATTATATTCTTGAGACTGATCTGTGCTGATGCATATACCTATAGCAGCTCATCCATTCTCACTGCTGCAATACAATTGGTTTTCCATTTTCCTATTTGTGGTGACCTGTGTTATTTCCAGTTTTGTTCTTTGCTATTACTAACGTTCTGCTGTGAACATTCTTGAACATGTCTTCTGTACAAATGTGTTTGAGTTTCTCTAAAGTAGAGCCTATAGGTTGCAATATGCACACAGTTTCCCCCCGGCTCTGCCACACACCACATGCTAGTCTTGCTTACTCCCGCTGCTCACCAGTTACACCACATGCATTCCTCTCTAACTCCACTGTCTCTACCAAGTATTCCTGTCCCTTCTTCCTTTCCCACCTGAAGAACTCACCCTTTAATGCCCGGCTCAACCTGTTACCTCCCACTGCCACCTCCTCCGTTAGCCTTTTCCTGACTCCCCCTGCCACACACACATCAATTCTGATTTTGAACTCCCCGAATACTAAAGACTCTTAAGCCCCTGTTCTTACTTTTATATTTTAAAATGCTGTCTCAGTCTCTCATTAAACTGAGAGCTTCTGAGGGCCACTACAGCCCATCCTGTGTCACACTGCTTAGCGCAGGACCTGGAACACACATGACTCAGTGATTCTGAAAGAACCAAACAAATGGTAGGTTCACTGA